TCTGACTTAACTGCAGGAAGAAAATAATGTTTAACCACTAGGTTAAGTAGGGACATTAACATACTTGGAAAACATATTAAATTTTGAAATATCTCCTGTCAACAGAATATTATGTAATTGTTTTTGAAAAGATACAAAAAGGGATGTTTCATCCTAAGCTGAGATTTAATTGGAATCATTTCCCACTTTATAGATTTACATAGAAAGTCAGAGCAGGGGTGATACTGAGATTTGCTACATGCGGATGCTTCACCATGGAATCATCACGGGTTATTTATCGTGGAAAATTAGACCACTTCATGTGAAATACACCAAGAAAGCCAGGACAGCTGAAAATGGATAGTGGTCCACACATGATAAACAGTTTGTAGATAACAGAAGTTTATTGATTTTTTTTCAGGGAAAACTTCAGTGGTGTAAAACATGACCTCCTTATTGCGGCATTAATCACAGCAAACAGAGATAACATTGCAGATGCTCCTAGGAAAGTTGGCACTCAGTGAGTGACAGCTGCTTGTCATTATTAGTATGTAGCAGCATGCATCTCTAAACAAAAATTAAAACAGGTTACGGAGATTAACTGAAAAGAATTACGATACTAACATTGCTGAATGGAAAATAAATGGAAGCGACTAGTTTTGTGGGACCTTTTTTTTATAAACCCTCACCACTAAGCACAAATTATTTGCTTCTTGTGGGAGATGAGAAAAGCCAACTTACAGAGATAGAATCTCAACAAACGTTCAAATCCAGATGCCGCACCTTTGTATGAGGCCTTTGTAATAGAGGGGCAGTCTATCTTAAACAGCATCACCCTTAATTACTCAGAGGAAATCTTGAGTGCTAGAGATTAAACTCAGATTTTGAGAGTTTAGAAAGTTTTTATTTGGAAAAAAATCATATTCAAAATACTTTGATAAACATATAACACCATGTTATACACATGACAGGCAGGTGGTATTTATTGGATTAAAATAATAAATATAAATGTAATATTAGTTGTTTTAAGGGGCTGTCGACCATATGGTATACATTCAATAAATACTTTTTTAGTGAATTACAGATAAATTCACCCCAACATTTCTATTTCTGTAAGTCTTAGTCCCAAGACATTTCCGGCTTTGTGGCTTTAATTAGTATAGCTGCTGTTGAATCTAGGTTTGTGTTAATCAAGCAAGCCATTAGAACCAACCACATCTGCTCACACCAGCCCATTGAATTAAGAATTCCTGGAAAATATATCTATATCAACTAATTCAATCACATCTGAAATTCTGTTTTTTCTTCTTTGGTCAAGCAACCTTAAAATCTGTCTCCACATGTGTTTCCCCAGTTTTCTGCTGATATAAAGTAGTATAAAGGCTTCTTCTCCAATATGACTATAATTGACAGTAGGGCACGCCCTGCTCAAAGGTCTAGAGATGCCAAAGGAGGATTAAGGTTGCTTCCTCATGAGAAAAAGTAAGAATGTCTTTCAGCAAGAAGAGCCTTAGGGACCACTTCAAGGAGCAAGGGAGGCTCAGTCACTCTTGGGAATTTAGGGGACTGAGTTCTTCAAGTATAGCCAACTTCTCTCATTTCTATTCTCTCAACTCTTCCTAATTGATCAAAGAAACCTGGCAAAGCTATGATTCAGCAGACGTCGCAACTTGGCAACACATAGAATGAAATTAGAGTTTGGATTCAACCAACTCTGTTTGTTATCTCAGGGGAGAAAGGGGAGATTTGGAATTGAAGATGGTTTCCAAAGGGGTCTTTAGTCTAATCTGTAATTTTTAAAAATTAAAGCATTCATAAGTCTTGTGAGATTAAAATTAATTTCAAGATTACAATCTATTATATAAAAAGCCTGTGGTCATCACACCATCACGCTGTAATGACCTATCAGCAGGAGGCTGCCTGGGGCTACGTGTGTGGTGAGGCACAGTGTGTGGTGAGGCGTTTGTGGGTGGGCGGGGACTTGACTCTGGAGGACTTGACCAGAGGCGCAGGTGGGTTTCTGGGTACCACCTCCCATGGCGGCAGCGGCCCCAGGACTCTTTCTGGATCCCGCCAAGCCGCGGGACTCTGAGTCCTGGGTCTCACTCAATTTCATGCACTGGGCCCCTAGTATAGTATAAGAAATGTGAAAATACTTTTTTTCTTTAGAAACTCAGGTAGGACAATCACTGTCCAGTCCAGTACATCCCTGCCCTCTACATGACATGTACCCAGAGGCTGTACCTGTTACCAGACTGGGAGCCGGCCCTGCTCCAGCAGGATCTGGGACTTGTAGAGTGTCAGGCAACCTCCAGGTTCTTGACTAGCACAGGCAATTTTTAAGACATGAGATGAAATTGAGAGTAAGTTTATTAAATCTTGGGACAGTGAAGCGAAGGAAGGGCCGGGGAGACAGGATCAAGGCATAAGTAATGCTGGGAGAGCTGCCGCTGCCCATTGCTCCCCTGGGTGCAGGTCTCATCAGGACCCTTAGAGTGTAGGATAGAAGCAAAGTACTCACCTGAGGAAAGAGGGGGAGGGTGGGGGCCGGGCATGCTCAGTATGCTGGCATCCTTTGTCCTGAGGGTTTTATGTATTTTCTATAGGCGGGAATCTTAAGGGAGGTCCCACCCAGGGGAGGATCTCACAGAATATTCTTTAGCTCTCCAGGTGTGTCATTTAGAATGCTGATGTAGCAAAATGAGTATATAGTTGGTTCAGGGGTCATTCTCTGGTTAGTTTCACCTCTATCTTGGATTAGTCTGGCTCTCATTGGTTTTTTGTTATCTTTCTCCCTAACATAATTTAAACCATTTGCTTTTAGGCGTCTTTGGTTCGGAAGAATAGGGTCTTGTGATTTACTTATTAGCTGGCTGTTAATTGCTCAGCTATTCTGGCCATTTGTTCAACCATTTGTCTCAGTTTTCTCCATCTGCTCTTAGTGTCTTTGGTGAGGGAGGGTTAGCTGGCTGTGAGTTGCTCAGCTACTCCAACCATTTGTTCAGCCACTTGTGTCAGTTTCCTCATTCCACTTGCCAGGGAATTTTATTAGATTCTTACTAGCCTTCCTCAGTTCCAAAACCCCTTCTAAATTTTGCCATTGTTCCGTACCCAATCCTGTAGTTTATATTTGATCTCTCTTGCCATATTTCCCCCTGGCTTTAATCACTTCTCACCTATATGTACCCTCTCCCAAATCCTCTGATTTGAAAGTCCCCACTCCTTCCCCAACTATAACTCTGGCTTCTTTAGACTATAGCCTTCCTCTACGCGAATGCAATCATGAACCACTTTGAGTAACAACATTCCTGTCTCAAATTTCCTTTACATCCTAGAGACAAACAGATTGATTTTAGGGTAGAACCTACATAACTGTTGAAAAATGTAATGAATAAGAAAGGATACAGTTGAACCTCGGTTCTCGAACTTAACTTGTTCTGGAAGGCTGTTCGAGAAGGAATTTGTTCAAAAAGCAAATCATTTTTTCCCATTAGAAATCATGTAAATTGAATTATTCCATTCCAGACCCCCAAATGATTTTGTTTCAACCTTTCTTATATACAGTACATGTTTAATGTACTGTTTAATCTATAAGTAAACACTTCTTTTATTAAATTTATCAAACCACCCCCTACTGGCCTTAAAGGAATCACTTTCAGTACTCTTTCCAGAGTGTCTTTCAGGTCAGCATGCAGCATCTTCACTTGTTCATATATCACTGCTTTCCAAATGCTGTCACCAGCTAACTGCTTTTTGTTTATCCAAATCAACAACAGTTTTTCCACCTCTTTTATTGCCTGTGATCATTGTTTTTTTTAATGCCCTTAGCAACATTAGCATTCTTGATGGCCTCCATATTTTAAAATTTTGCTAATCATTGATTTTGGCCAGCAACAATAGCATTCTCTCCTTTGTTTTGTTGCCTGAGATAGGCTTTTTGTCATGCTAAGGTATCAGCATGAAAGGATTGTCAGTTCCAATCTCAAAGTTTGTCTAGACAACTGAGACATTTTTTGTGTGAACAACTTGGTTGAGAACCGAATTGTTTGAGATGGGAGACATTGGAGAAGTGAGATTTGACTGTATTACAATGGTATAGGACAAAAGAGGAGAGTACCAAATACCTTCTAATGTCTTCAGAGAAGACTGTCCAGAAGAGATAACTATTTAGGATGATAATGATGATGATGCATATGTATGTTCTGAGTGATTTAATGTGTTATTTCATTTAATCCTCTCAGTAACTCTAACAGGAAAATTCTCTTGTTACCCCTATTTTATCATTGAAGAGGCCAAAGAACAGTGAGATTGACTTTGCATTTGATTACACAGCTTGCAAAAGGTGGAGCTAAATTTCTGGCTCCTGGGTCCCTGCTCTTAAATCATAGGTGAAAAGATAAAACTCAGCCGAGGTTGAGAATGGCATTCTACCTAAACCAAGGTAATAGTATACACAGTCATGAAAATATGAGAGAACATGGTTTGCTCAAGAACAAAGCATTCAGTGTGGCAGGAGTGTGAGTAGAGGTGAAAAAGGGCACTAAAAAGGTAGGGAGAAACCAGTTCATGAAGGGGCTTATTTGTTGGGTTTTATTGTGTAGGAAATGAGTTGTTGAGAGGTTTTAAGCAGGACAATAACATGATTAGAACTGCATTTTTGCATAATCCCCCTGACAGGGATATGGAGGATAGATTGGAATAGATTGAAACTGGAGGCACAGGTTACTATTCAGAAGCATTTGCATTATCCTGAGGATATGATGAGGGCTGAACCAGAGCAGCAACATCAATGATGGAAAAAGTGGAGATGGAGTTGAATGCCTCAAAATGAAACTGAAACTTTTGTATTTCAGATGTGTCAACAGTATTCTGATAGAGGGAAATAAGATAATGGTGTTCCTGTATTTGCCTCTGTCTTCCTGTTAGTAAAACAGCACTCGTTAAAGTCTTGAGTCAAAGATATTGTCCAGTTAGGTAAACATTATGCAACTTTTCAGACAAGAGTAAATATATAAATATTATTTCACAGACAATAATGTTTAATATTTTCACATTGAAGAAATAAACAGATATGAAGATTAACTCTTATATTTTACAGGGTTTTTGAAAGACATGAAACAAATTTATGTATACATAAAGAAAAATAAGAATTATAAATGAGCTTATTGTGATGACATTACCCATAAGGACCAGCAAATATTACTAGAATATCTTCTATGCTTCTCATATTTAAGCTCTTTATCTATTAAACGGATATGTCATTAATTCCTTGGAGCATTACTGCTTATCAGAATAATTTGATTTTTTTTCCCTCAACGATGAGTGAATCCGTTACACTTGGAATTTCTAAGAACCTAGTTTTAGTCTCTATTTTCAAAGAATGATAAAGCTCAGAAATAAAGCCTTAATTAAGATAACAAATATTGGCCATTAAAGTGGAACCAAGACAAGACTCTAAAATAATATATTTGTTAATAGTAAATCCACGTTTATGAACCTTAGTGAATATTAGTAAATAGTTATCTTTCTTTTTAAGTAAATAGTTAAGTCAAAAGACTCTTGTAGATATGTTAAAGATTATAAAAATCTAAAATTTATTTAGTAAGTGGCATGAAATGATTTTAAAAAGGAATTTCTATGTTACAGAATTTTTTATTAGAAAAGTACCATAAAGTATGATGGAAAATAATATTTTGACCCTTTGAAATAAGGTAGGATAGCTTTTGAATATTTACATGCACTAATGAATTATATGCCAGATTTTCCTGAAATGATACCTAGTTCCCATTAAATCAGTGCTCACTCACTATATGAGCTATTTTTCTTCAGAACTGTATTCTGTGAGGAATCCATTTTTGATCACAGAAATTTAAATTTATTTAAATTTAGTATACATATATTAATAATTGTATATGGTGAATCAAAATGCCCTTATCTGTAATAAATACATTGTATGATATTAAAATGTTCCTTTAAAAAAAGAGAGAAAGAGTAAATCAGTTACAACATTTACATTTGGTATCCTATTGGGTAGATATGCAGCCTTTGAAATAGACAATTATTGATTTTGGTCTACAGTGATACATTTTGGTCTTAACCTATAATTCTATTTGTATTTCTCTTTAACATTTTAATAGCATTCATAATAACTTCATTTTCATCATGTTTTCCTAAAAACTTTGTATGTTATATATTATTAAAAGGATTTTTGCTTCTTTTTGATTAAAAGTTTCTGTAAAGGGTAATACTTGAAAAGTTAACTTGTTACCTAATCATTTTCAAATAATGAGTAAAGGTGCATCTTTGTGAATATATTTTAAAATCTTGGTTACTATAGTAGAAAGAGACACTAGCAATGAAAGCTTGAATTTATTTCTATGACTCACATACAATGAGTATTTCAAATTTTATTCTAGAGTATTTTTAAATACGCAGCAGAATACTACTGCTCTCTATGAAATGATCCCTTTTTACAATGATGAAACTTAACACATTATTTTTTATAATCTTTAGAGTATGATATTTGCATTCCAGAATTAATGAATTATAAAAGATCCAGATACTTTTGATTGGTTAAAAAAATAAACATCTTTATTTGAATCCTTCTGATAGTAAAATAACCATAACACCAGTTAGGATTAGGATATATACTATTTGAACTACTGTTCTACATATATCAAAATTCATATGCTTTTTATAAATAGATTTATCTATTTATCTTATAAAACTTAGCTTTAAAGCTATTACTGCTATGGATATAAAACAGGCCTTCAGAGCATTATAGACTATAAATAAATGCTTCATTCTTCACCCACACCAACCTCTTCTAAAGAAAGCTTACCAGTAGTCTTGCACAGTAGTGAGCAATTTTAAAAAACTATTAGGCATAGAGAGTAAAGGAAGATAATATTTATGTTAGAGCAATTTTCACCATAAAACATCTAAAAAGTTAAAAACTGTGAATGAATTACCTTTAAACCATGGTCCTTATGGTCAAATTAATTTTCTGAATACCACATTTTTTATTATTTTAAATGACAAATATTTTACATTTCATGGAGTACCTGAACAGCATTAATTTGCCCGGGAACTAAAATGCTATAGGGTCTTTCTGACCAAAAGTAAATGCCATAAATTGAAGAAGTTTATCTCAGAATGAGGATTAGGGTATTTACATACAAATAAATACCCAAATAACTCTTTATATCCCAAAAATAACGATATACCCTCAGATGTGTTTGTCATAGCCAAAATACAAATTATTTGTGTAAAGTCTAGCCTGCTGAGTAAACAATTATTTTTTAAATATAGCAAGTAATACAATTAATGTAAAACTTTTCAATTAAGAGAAATTAAAATAATTATAAATCTAATGTGTAATTCTCAATATTCCCTGGTGCTTGCAAGTGTTCTTTAGCGTAACAGCAACAAAGGACTCTTTTAAATTGGATATATTTTTTAGCTTTATTTCCGATGCTGTGCAGCATAAGAACTCAGTGTTCAGAGATAAATGTGTAACCATGGAAAAGGAATACAAAAAGGAATTAATTGCCCTATTAGGTAATGAATACTCAGAGGAATGAGCATTAGTGATTTATGGCTTGAAGTGCTTGGGTCTGATCATCATTTTGGCCTTTTTGAAGGAGGACTTATAGCCACCAGGCTGTGCCTCACTCATACCAGGCCAGGTGCCCCAGAAAATCCCATTACGGACACCTCTGTATTTTTGGTGATAATATTTGCCATTTAAGTTTGCAGAAAGACATGCATCAAACCACCAGCCTGAACTGTAGAAGTGCCCACAGTTCCCAGAGGGGTATCGATCATTGTCTCTGTCTGGGGTGGTAAAAAACTTCATGTCGTGGTTGTAGTGTTTACTGAAACGTAAGGCATCTCCAGCTGTGCCATTATAGTTACCAACGTGTAAACGGTATTTGAGAAACTCATTGGCCACATAAAACTCATCATACAAGGCATAGAGTTTGACACCATTAAAGTCTTCAAGATCTATTCTTAGAATCATCTCGTTACTCTTGGTCAGAAGGTGGATTTTATCATTCCCCAGCCAAAATTCTTTTCTGATGTTTCCAAAGCCTGCTTTGTAGTCTTGCCATGTTTTGTTGAAGTTGGTGCTTCCGTCGAGACGTGCCTGCAGCACTGTCCAGCCTCCCCCCATGGTCTCCATGTCACAGTAAACTTCGAAGCTACTATTTTTGGGATCCGGTGTAACTCTGTAGGTCTCACTGCTTCTTTTGCCTATAGTGTAGTATTCGGAGCAATCTTTATAGATTAGATGTTGAACTGAAGGGAGAAGAAAAGAAAGACATTGGATTTTGTTAAAAAAAAAAAAAAAAACCCAAAACTATGCATCTGAAGAATTCTTTGTATGTACAAAAGCAGTTTGACAGCTCCATCAATGGTGATAATGGAAACTTACTCTGCTAAACTTACTTGAAACTGTTTAGCAAATGCTTGTTAAGGCCTCAGAAAAAGAACCTGATGTTACAAAGCAGACAACACACTCATGGTTGGTAATAATTTTGACATCGACAACAATCAACAAGAAGAAGAAATAAAAAAAAATAGTTTTAAGAATTTAGTCATTTTTAGTGAGGGCTACCCTCAATAGGCATTCTGCCAAAGGCTTGATAACATTTTTACACTTAATCTGCACATGATCCTTATGATGTAGATACTATTGCAAATCTGCTGGTGACAATATGTATATTCAAAGAGGATCAGTGGCTTGCCCAAGTTCTCAGAAGCATTAAGTGGCAGCGTCAGGACTGAGTTCTAGCTGGCTGCATAGCTTGTTCTTGTAACCACTGCATTAACTGGTCCTGAAAGTCAGATGATTCCAGCTCTCCTATTCGCGCTTACAGAGGAACCATAGGCTTCTCTTTCCTTTCACCTAAAGGGGCTGATGGCCTTCGCTGTCAAAAAGTGTTACAGGATATGTTCCAAATGACATGTTAAAATTCTAATGCACAGCACTGATCATACATTCACATTTATTTTACTTGCTTGACCACTAAATAAAGAAGCTCAAAAAAAAGAAGCTCAAGTTAAAAGGAAATTTTTTCAATAATATTCCAATATTCTTATTACCCAAAGAAAGTATTTAGCCAGGTTTCATATATTTGATTTCTAGAAAGAAATGACAGGTGATTATGTTCAGAATAAAAATAATAATTAGGTAGCATGGTTCTGTAGGAATCCAATACAGGTATTTACTCCCAGATAATTTTTATAAAAATCTATCCCAGGTAAGTTAAGTTTAATATAGGCTGTCCCCCCCAAAAAAGTATGCACACTTTGAATAATTATAATAATTTCAATGGGTTAAGTCTAAACAGAAAGAAACATCAATGAGCTATCAACTGTTAATGTGTGTATACATTTGGGGGGGGCACCCTGTATAAACTACTCTGAGTCATAATAAATCTATTCATGTGTATTTAGGATTCAAAGTATTCTGATATTTTCCTAAAACTTTTAGTTAAAAAAAAAATAGACGAGAATCGAATGTGTGTCCACGGATGTCATCTACCTCTCTGCCTTGCAATGTGTAGGGTAACTTCAGATAGGAGCTGCCTAGTGTATTAGCAACAGAGGTCCTGAAAACCCCCACCTAGCTTCCCTGGCAGCTTCCCTGGGGATGGAGCAGGCATGAGGTACTCGTTCCAAATGAACGTGGTCCCTGCCCTAAAGCACCATATCCCTTCAACCTCACACTCGTGGTGAGTCCTAGACCTAATGCCCAGATGGCTTTCCAAAGTGTAACAAGACCATCAGCAGCTGTGGCCCCAGGAACTCAGATGCACAGCCAGGGTTTGGAGGAACCAGTGCCACAGCTGGTTCATGGGCAGAGCAGGCAGTTAGGTTCATGGGCAGAGCAGGCAGTTAGGTTTGTTATCTTTGACACACATTTATTAAAGTTAATTCAGGTCATCTGGATGGTGAGGATGGGTTGTATTGTTACAGGAATGTGCTCCTTCCCTGAGTGGCGTTCCAAATCTCCCCTTACCATGTTTTTGTGTCACTAGGTCTCAAAGCAAAAAGTTTTACCCACACGTGAAACCATATGACTGCCTTTATTCCAGCTATTAAATCTCCCATTTTCACTAGGTATTTGGGGTTATCTACTGCAGATTACTTGCCAAGATCTTTCAAAGATCTCCTATTGCTACATGAGAAAGGAGCGGTCAGCAGACCATAGAAACTGACTTTCTATGAACAGAGTACAACCGCAAATACTGCCTTGTCTCTCTCTATGTTTTCAAGCACTTCAGTAAAGAGATAAGCTAAATGCACTAAAATGTTAAAAAATTCTACTTCTCTACAAAATTTATATGTAAATTTGACATCAGCAAAGTTCTTTGAAATTGAAAGTGCTTTCTAATGGCTACAGAACTAATCATGATTTTTGTAACTACCATTTCTATGATCACACATTTGCAGAGATATTAGTATTTTCCGCACTACCTGGCTGAATAAAAGGCTTAATTTATTTAACCGGTCATTTTATTTAACTTATTTGCTCGGGTTAATGTTTATAAGTATTGTCTAGCTACCTAACATCCATGAACAAATGATAAGAAAATGGTTATTTTACATACCTGGACGTGATTGTATCTGTTCTTGACTGGGACACTTTGAACACTTCCCATCCAAACTATTGACCACAAATGTCAGATTTGCCACTTTGCTGTCAACATAATTTTCTACGTTGTTCATGTTGACAAGATTCAGCTTCTCCAGGCGACCCTGAAGCACGTCGATCTCCTTCTTCGCATTCTTCAGGTCAGAGGACAGCTTGTTCACCTCGCTCTCCAACTCTGTAACTCTGTTGTCATCCTCCTCTCCCGGGTCTCCCGTGCCCGGGTCTCGGTTGTCATCCGCCTGCAGTTTGCTGTCTTGGCAACATTTCTTCAGGCTGCTTACGATTTCCTTGAGGTTCTGGACTTCTTTGAACACCTCCTCCATCCTGCCGAACTGCTTGGGGAGCTGAATCGTCAGCGGGGGCAGGTTCACCTGGTAGGGGCATTCGCCTCCCTGCTCGCATTTCCCTCTGCTCTCTAGCCTCACCGGGCAGGCGTCCTTGGCCGTTTGGTCTTTAATTTCTTCTGTGTCATTGTTTGCCGCAACCAAACAACTGTAAGCAGCCAGGACAGCCGAGCTCAGGCAGCACCAGGTGGCCAGCTTCATCTCCGCGGCGGCGCGCACCCCAGCAGGGAAGTGTGGAAGCGTGCTGGGCTGGAGCTGTTTTAACAGCCGCAGCTGCCGGCCTGACTCAGGCTTTCTGTTGTCAGAAAAGGGCGGGAGCACTTGCATCACAAGTTTCAGAAACGAGGAGTTGCCCTCAGCCAGCTCAGTTTGCCAAAAACTGTTCCTTATTCCCAATCAGTAATTCCTCATCCGGGATTACTATGAGTTGGTTGGATGCACATAATTGAACAAATTTTACTTTCATCGTTTACTTGATAAAGCACAAGAAAAATCTTGTATTTCAAAATAATGATGCTCCAAGTAAATCATTTAATTGTACCTAACTCCACTAGAAAAAAAATATTTCGAAGATACAAATTAAGTCCTAGTTATTCACACTATCTGAAGAACAGAAATATTTACAGAAACAGAAATAGTCCTGTTTTCTTTTTAGTACATGGCATTGAGGGTCCTGCATTTTCTTCATGTTGGACATGCAGGTGAAGTCTTAAAATTGTTAAAAAATATAATGAAGTGCATCCTTCTGACTTGTGCCATGGACTGTTTGAAAAAGGGAAGAAAACTGGTAGAAAGGAGCGGGGGAAAGCTGCTTTTTATTACTTTGACCATAACATAGTGTAGTAGAAATGTCTAAAACACAGTAAAAATTACATCATTGTCTTTCAACAAAACCAGCAGCCTCCTCCTTTGCCCCTTACCATCTGTGAGGTTATGTTGTCATCTCCCAGAGCTGCCCAAGTGTAAGTCTTTGAACTGTGCCCGCCTCTGCTGGGATTCTTCTGACCCCAAGCATCTTTGCCTGCCCTTCCCACTGGCAGCCCCGCTCTGTGAATCCTGCCTCTATCGCGGGCCCCATTCACCTGCTCTCTATGCCTCTTGGTGTAACACGTCAGCACTCAAGACTTTTCAGACTGCTGTTTCATATTTTTCAAACTTTTCTCCTCAAAGGCCAAGGGCAAGAAGGAGGAACAGATTCAATTGGAGAAACCACTTCCTTTTAATTTGTTTTGCATATTGGCATCTCACACAAGATTTCTTATTTAAAACAAAGCCTTTTATTGCTTTAAAAATAATTTCAAAATGACTGATGTGGATAAAAATCCAAATTCTTTATTATATTACTTAAGGACTCTGTAATCTATCTCATATTTATTTCTTGAATTGACTTTCCTCTGTACCCTCTTCATTCAGGCCAAACTACCCTCTTCATGTTCTCTAATTGTGTCAGGCTCACTTTACATTCCACAGCTGTATTTACTCCTGAATACTTAGGAGGCCTGGATCCCACCCCTGGATCTACCTCTTATCGGATATATAGATTATTAACTTTACTGAGCCTTGGGTCTTGTAACTGTGAAGGAGGAATTTGGCTATTTTTCCCTCGTACGGGAATGAGAGTTATAAAAACCTTTGAGTGGAGTGCTTCAGGGGAAAAAAAAAGTGTGTATAAAAGTAACATTCTTTCCAAATAAATTTGTCAAACATGTTCTACACACCCTATGCCTCATTTTTCCTCCATCTTCTTCCAGTCTTTTAAAAAATTAAGTTGTTTTCTCTTCATTTTATTCAATATGTTCAAATCAGTTTTATACAATTCTTAAACTTTCTGATTAAAAATATCTATTTAGTCTCCTAATTTTATTTCTCTTCCCTTACCCACTTTCAAGCTGTGACACTCCCTGTTGTGAGGGGAGACATAAATGAATGATTAGATAAATTTTAAAAGAAAGAGAATGATTATAATATAGATGATATAAAAAGCCTATATAATAAAAGGCTAATATGCAAATTGTCCCCTCAACCAGGAGTTCAACCAGGAGTTCGACCAGGGGTGGGGTCAGCTGGCCAACTGCCCTGCAGCCCCTCCCCCAGGCCAGCCTGGCCTGATTGACCCTGATCAGGGCAGGCCAGCCGGACCCCACCTTGCATGAATTTGTGCATCAGGCTTCTAGTATTTTATAAAGTAGAAGCATAAAAACAAAGTAATATTTTAAAAGAAAGAATAAGATATTATGTAATAATATGGTATAAAGTAGAAATATATTGGAATAATGTTTAGTTTAAGGTACATTATTAAATGCCCTTGACTGACTAGGGTATATATAAATCCATATAGTTAGCCAGTCAAGTACTTATTAAGGATCTTCTGTGTACTTGGACCTATGCTAGAACATATAGAAGATGTAAGCCATGGGCTCTTCTTTTTGTTCATTCATTCGTTTATCCATCCATCCAGACATCATAGTAACTGGGCACCATCTACATGCAAGACTACACAGGCACTTAGCCTACACTAGAGAACAAATCATTCAAAAATCCCTTTCCCTTCTTAGGAAGGTGTATTGAGAATCTTGTAGTTTCTTGTGGGACAATCAAGGAAATCAGAAACACTTTTAAACATTTCTAAATCTAACAAAAGAGCAGCTTTCTGGCTCTTGTAATGGGCTTTGTTTCATGTGCTTGAATCCAGGATTTGCTTTCCTAGCACTACTGCTAATTCTTGGACCCTGCACACCCCCACTTAACCAAGGGCAAATGGCACAGTCTCACCTGGAAAGGTTGAATATGCTGTGGAACTGGCTCCTGTTCCCTCAGGACCTATAAATAATTCCCAAGTAAAGACAGAGAACTGCTTTATTAATCAGTTTTTGTTGACTCTCTGGGCTCTCAATTTATAAAATCACTTACTCCAGGCAGACACTAAGTGACTACCAAATGAAAGGCTCAGTCTGCCTAGTGATTTATAACCCGTGGGGCCAGGCAGTGCTGTGCTATAATTAGTGCAAGAAGCTTTCACAAAAACAGTCTCACTATATCCTCCCCTCTCTACAAGTACTTGCAGATGAGAAAAACAAAACAAAACAAAAACCTCAAAGCAATCAATGACTTGCCCCTGATCTTACGGTATTTAAGATACAGAGTTGGAGCTTGAACCTGGGTCTGATTCCAAAGTTCATGTCTTTTCTCCTACGCCACATAGCCAGGCATATTGGTAGCATGTTATGGAGAACCTGGTGCTTAATCACTGCTTGGATCAGTGGGGAACCACTGAAGGTTTCTGAGCAAAGGAATAATATAATCAGTTAGGCACTTCAGAGAAATTAATTCATCAGTGAAATACTAGATGCATTGGAAAAGGGAAAGATTAGGCAAAGAGAGCTGTCTAGAGGCCATTGAAATACTCCAAGCCATTGTTTCCTAACGTGTGTTTCTTGAACATGAGTGACCACATGCGGATGAATGTTATATGAAAACGGAGTTCCAGGACAAGCAGCTCTAAAAAATATCAGTCTTATGCTAATGTGTATATGGATGGCCAAGAGGAAGTGATGTCTGCTGCATTTTTTAAACATTAATTAACAATAGAAACCTTTTATTTTCTAGGACAATTTTTTAAGAAATGAATCTTCTGCTAGAAGCCAGCAGGAAATAGTGAGAAGTGGTAGTGTGGTGGCAGGTGAACCAATGTAGTGGCAGGAGGAGTGGTAAAGGGGTTGCAGACACTATTATAAAGACTGATAGAAGCCATAGGATCTGATAAGTGATGAGGAATGGAAGAAGAGGAGCAAGAGTTGAGGGAGAACTGTGAAATATGACTCTGGTTGAAGTAATGTCATGGCAATGAGAGTAGAGAGGGAGCAGTAGGTTGGGGAGTATAGAATTCTTACCCTCTGTCCTTGACCTTTGCCTCCTTCCTCTTGCAGAAAACTTTCTGCATTTTCTTATGTGCAATCTCTCCTGACTCCTGATATCATCCACTGATCTGCCCCCAACACAGAACTGACACATTATGCCCATTTACAGATTTGTTTTTCAGACCTAAATAAGTCATTTAACACCAATAGATGGTGGAATTTCAAAGTAACAAGATTTGTTTCTATAAGCCTGATGATAAAATTACTTTCATCCGTCTATATTCACATTCACAGCATATTCAGACTTCTTTAATTTTTTTTCTTATACAAAATATATTCAAAGGAGGATCTGTATTTACTGTTTTTGGATGAGAGTCCAAAAGTAAAGTTTAATTGTTTACTTAAATATTCCTTAGACATCTTAGTTGTTGTCCATTATAAATTTCATGAAAATAATCTTAAACAAAATGCTGAACTTTAAACAAAAATACAACACATAGATTAAAAATTGTTTAATTTTGGTTAAAACTGGAATAGTTGTCAGTTTCTTTGACCTGTCTTACCAGTATCTCACCAAGCCCACCCAAGCCATTTCCAGTGGCTTTTCCATACAAATGGCCTCTCTTGGCTTATCCTTCAGACTTTCCTAAAATCTCTCAAACAAGCAGCATCTGACCTCTGTGTACCTTGTACCACTTGTTAAGTGGCTTCAGGCCTGGCACTAGCAGCAGCCAACATTGGTTCACAGCTTGGCCTCACTGTGGGAACCTCCAAGCCCAACACAAGTAGCAGCCTTTTGCAGATCAGTTCATGCCAGGTGGCCCAGGCAGGACACAGGCAGTGTCTGACCTTGCACCTCCCTGGACAGCTTCAGACCACCAGACCACGCCCAATTACTACCCAACCACCTTCACCAGTGACATTCTCAAGGAGCGGACTCAGTGGGAACCAAAGCCCCACTGAAGCAAGTCCTGTTCCACAGGGTCAGTCCCTGTACAGCAGCTCCTCTGCTGTAGTCTCAGTTGGTCCTTGCAGCCAATTGGTATCTGGGGGCCAATCCCTCCCAGTGACATGCCAACAAAGTCAAGGCTAAAAAGGACAGTTCACACAGCCCACACAGGGACCACACCTAGGGCACTCCGCTTGGGGGACTGGGGAAGTTGTGCCACTAGGCCCTTCAGGACACCTACTCATAAGGAAACAAACACAGGGAAGCAGCCAAAATGATGTCCCAAATGAAAGAACACAAGAAATCTCAGAAAAAAACAAACAAACAAAAACTAAATGAAATGGAGGCAAGCAAACTACCAAATACAAAGTTCAAAACAATGGTTATACGGAAGCTCAAGGAATTTAGTCAGAACTTCAACAGCATAAAAAAAGGATATGGAAACTGTAAAAAGAA